GTTCAAAATTTTGTTTTAAACCTTGAATCTTTTGTTTGACAACTTTTTTTAATATTCTCCAACTCTGTAATCAACTTTTCTGCCTTTTTTTTCTGTTAAAAATTTTAGTTTGATATGAAAGTTGTTTTGTCAAAGTTCTAACCTCTTCCTCCATATTCTGTAAGGCTGTGTTTTTCAACCCTGGTCCTACAGGCACACTGCCCTGCAGGTTTTGGATGTTTCTCAGCTTCAGTACACCTGATTAAGATGACTGATTCAGTTCAGCAAAGCCTGTTAATATATTATCAATGAAGGCAGGTATGTGAAAGCTGGGAAACATCTAAAACATGCAGGGCAGTGTGCCTGCAGGACCAGAGTTGAAAAAAAGCACTGCTGTAAGGAACAGGGACTGGACCCAGAATCAAACAAGCACAGGTCAGTGACGTTTGAAACAAGCTTTATTTTAAAATAACTTGGAGTGGGGGTTCGGGAGCACGCAGCTCGCTGTAAAGCAGGAAACCTCCTGATTGCGAGGTTTCCGTGTCAGAGAAACCGACTTGGTCCGGGGCTTTGGGGGGTTACTGTTGGTGCAGCCAACAGGCAGGCAGGCACTCCGGGTTATCCGGGGGCGTTATCCAGAGAGGTCCAGGGTCCATACACAGAGGGGAACAGAGATCCAGCAGATGTACCAGTAGGGATTTTCCAGGGGCGTAATCCAGAGGGGTCCGAGGTCCAAAGACAGAAGAGGGTCAGGCAACAGACAGGCAATAAGAGGGGAAAACGCTGGAATGCTCATGCGGGAACTAGAGACAATCTGGCACTGGCATCTGATCTGCAGAGGGTTTGCAGTGGAGCAGGTGTGATGAATGGAGGATCAGACCAATTGCAGAGCCGAGACTGTCACATATTCTTGTTATTTTTCTGGAACATTTTCTGCTGCTATTTTGTAAGCTTGTACTTACATTTCAACATCATTGGATCTATTAACTGTTCTTTCATATTTGCCCCCTGGTGTTTAATTTCACCATTACTTTGGGATAAAAGTTTTACTTTTTCAGTTTTTGTAGTGATTTTCTCCATGAAATCCTTTTGGGAATATTGCTCTAGTTGAAGCTTCTTCATTCAGTCTTCATATTTTTTGCTTAACATTTCAAATTCCATCAGATTTTTTAGATCAGGGTAAGACACTTTTTTAGAAAAAAAACTTTTCAAGATGTTTGTTAAGTCCTCAGAGTTCTTGGATTTTTCTCTTATTCTTTTTACGCATTTCTTTTAGATGAGAGAGATCGCCCTTCTCAACCTAATAAAACATTTTGAGATTTTTCTTGCGGTTTTAAAGCAAAGCAGCTTTAAGGGGAAACAAATAACGCAGATTAAACAAGATAAAAAAGTATTAACTGTCATGATGCGTGGTTGGTTTGCTAGCCCAAGGATGCAGAACTCACAGACTCAGAGGCAGGATAAAGTCCAATATTTATTTATGAACACCGGTAATCTGCCCTGGAAGGCAGAGAGGACAGAAAACAGGTTAAACTCAGGGATCAAAAACTAAACTGAAAACTCACGGGTTCGCTGGTTCAGGCAGGCAGAGTAGCACAGGTAACGGACATGGCAAGGCGTGGCAAAACGTGGCTAACATGGCAAGACATGCTACATGGCTTGGGAACACATGGCTAGGAAACACAAGGCTGAACATGGCTGTGTGTAACACATGCTACGATCCGGCTCAGAGTGAAGCTGTCACACAGCTTATATGGGGAGAGGTTAATGAGCAGAGCTGATGGGAAACAGCTGTGCGCTGAGAACCAGCTCCCAGGAGAAGGATCCACATCGCGATCTGGTGGGCAACCTCTGGATCCCAACAGGAAAAGAAGCTCACAGGAAGGGATCCAAACAGAAACAGAAGCTACAGAATGGGATCCACACCGCCCTCTGGAGGGCAAACCTTGGATCCCAACATTAACTCGGGGAGCCTTTTCAAGTGCACACCACAATTCAGGCTTATTGTTGAATAAACATATTTTGCTCTACACCAGATCTACATATAAAAGAAAACAATACATTACAGTAACATCTGGGTATGATTTGTGACAAAACAAGAAAAAGTGGAAGAATATTACTTTACACTGAGTCATTTCCTGCTCCTCCTCCTTATTCACAAAGCCCTGCAGAGACTTCAGTTGGCTCCTCAGTTGCATCATGAAGCTTCATCATCTCACAATAGTCATCATCGCTCTTTGCTGGGTTAAAGGTATGCCTAAATATTCCCTTCTTCATTTTCATACTACAGAGCTAAAAAAACAGATAATTTTTTAACCCCATATTACTTATTTCCTTCAGGGGTTTACCTCAGTAAAGAAGGTCAAGTGTCTCAGTCTCCAGCTGAACTTTTGATGGAGCCACATAGTAATGCCAGCCTGACCCTCAAACACACAATCTCCAGCTATGACACAATCCTCTGGTACAAGCGCTCACCAGGAGACACCTCCTTAAAGCTCATAGGCTACACATCTTATAAAACCCAAAAGATTGAGGATCCATTTGAAGGCCATTTTAAAGTTAGTGGAGATGGAGAGAAAGAGGCTTCTCTTCACATACTAAACCTGACTCACCCTGAGGACAGCGGAGAATATTTTGGAGCTGCGAGTAGCACAGTGAAAAAGACAGAAGCTTTCTCATACAAAAACCCCTATAATATGATAGCAGCACAGCAGGAAACCTCTAAAACCACGTGACACAACAGATACATGATACATAAAAACTCAATCACAAAAGAAGTCAGCACAAACAGAAATAGACATTAAGAAGTCCCTTTGAACTCTAATTAAAGTCATTGCAAAAAGCACTTCCCCAAACACACTCCGATACAGTGTAGAATTAATGGAGGATTATGTGATACTGTGAAAGGATGATTCTACAAAAGAAACTAATGGTACTTCCACCTCCATGCACCAACATTATGTTCTTTTTTCTTCAATGCTGAAATTTTCTTTACACCAAAATATATTTTCGTACCTATAGCCTAAAGGTATTACTATACGTTTTAGGCTCATCTGCTCAAAGAACATTGCAAAACTTGGATACTTTAGTCTGGTATTCATGTTTTTGTTATTTTTCTTTTAGAGAGGAGAAGTTTTAAACTCGATCACCTCCACTGGAATTTAAAAGTATACAATATGTTAATGTATGGAAGTTTAAAGTTTGCATGTGGTAGGTCATATTGTAACAAGTTAAGATTTTAAGTACACTTTTTTCAGCATCTTCACTGAAGTTGCTTGAATAACCAGAACTGTCTATACTGGCATTTGTTTTGAATGTCCTCTACTTCTACACACATTTCTGTACATGTTAGGGTATGTTTGTAACTCTGCTGTTAGGATGATATGTGTGCCGGATACTATGTTGTATATCTTATATGCCAAACAATTCAACTGTGTAATTTTAGGCAAACGAGGTTTGGAATAAATTTGATTATGTATTATATTATAGCTTAATTGAGGAGCTTATTTTTTATATTGCCTGAGTATCTAAGTTTGTTTTAAACTATATCAAATATCCATATCTAATATCCATGATTGGTAATAGGCACTGAGGTGGAAATGAAATGATGGGAGAAAGTTGTTTTTCTGTCTCTTGAAAAATTTTTTTATTTGTGTTTTGTATGTTATTCTGTTAAAAGAGAACAAATGAGGATCAGTTTTCAACATCCTGGTACACTCCATCATTATTCTACATTAAAAGTGTTGTATATCAAAGTGTTGATTTTGTCTAGTGCTCCAAAAAGTTTAATTTGAAAGACTAAAGAGCCCACATCATAACTCATACCCTACCATACTTTGCCTGAGATGATTTTCACATATTCACCCTTTTTTTTTTTTGCAGACCCAACTGCATTGTTTGCCATCAAAAAGCGGGTATATATAAGGGGTATATATAAAACTAACATTACCGTGTCATGAACACTTTAAATACAAGTTGAAATTTTTTTCAAATGTCTTCGTTATGAGAACTTGATATTAAAAGACACAAAAACATCTCTGTAATAGCAACTTGATATTAAGGAAACCAAAAATTCCTTCATGACTTTACATTAAAGTAATCATAACAGGTCTTATTATATACATTTAAAAAGTTCTTGAGATATCTGTGTTAACCTAACATTACAAGGTCATAAGGACTGTTATTAAAGCAGTAATAACACTTAATGACATCTTTTTTCAACTATTAAGCTCCGACTGAGGCAACCTCAATACATACATTTATACCTTACAAAATCCCGACAACACACACCCTCCCCCAAGGGGAACCAACCCAACCCCTGCATAAAGAACTTTCTCACACTTAAACATTTGGAGAAAATACAACTTGAGTTCATCAAGGTCCTTCCATGTTGGGATAATAAATCTTTCACTGGCCAGATGGATCTTCTCCAAACAACAGCCCCTCCCCTTCATGGCGTGAAGGAAGAGGTGTAACTCATTCTTATCTCTCATGACCTTCGTTTGCAGCCTGGGAGGCCAAGAACTGACATACTTCAAAATTTTTACTCCACATTAAAGAAAGACTCTAAAAAAAAGTTATAAAATTCATAATAATTTCTATATGTTCATGCCCGGTGCCATATATATAAAACAGTTTAATGTGACATCTTATGCACAACTTATAAATTAAAGTGTTACCAAAAAATATATTTTTTGGTAACAGAAATTTATGAGATTACATGCCTCACCATATTCAATTGGAGCGATCACACAGATCAGATCATTTTTTTCCAGAAAAATAAGTTAAATAATTTTAGCTCTGTTTTTTAAGTTTAGCCATTAGGTTTGAAGGTTATCTATCTGTGATATTGTTCATATTGTACTCTTTCTACTGTGGATTGAGTATCTACCCTGAACAGCAGAGAGCAGTAGAAACCCATGGAAATGTTGAGCTCTGAGAGCTCCTCCTCCTTAAAAATCTACAAAATATGATTACCCTCCCATTTGTCTCCCACAATACCTCTGCATGCCTGTGTTATAAAGAAAAAAATTATCTGAGCAAGGTTTTTTTTTTTCAGTTAAGATAATGTATAAGACATTGATCTCCTCACTGATTTGTATGTCTTTTTTTGCAGGTAAATAGGAAAATATTGGAAAGAAATCAGTAAATCTTCAGTATTCAGATTTTCTGTCTAGTTTCAGTCCTTCTTTTCTGTTTTATAGACACTATGGCATCACCACCTGTAATCCAGCAGGCCCCTGCCTTCATTCAGGTAAAATCTGGAGAAGAGGCACGTCTCGAATGTTACCATGGGGAGAACAGCTATCCTTACATGCTCTGGTACCAGTCAACTGTCGGGGGCCGAAAGACCATGGACCTGATTGGACTGCTTCATTATGAAAATAAAAACCCTGAGAAGGGCTTTGAAAGCCGTTTTAACTTCACCGGTCATTCAAAAGGCAAAGCTTGGCTGGTCATCTGTGATACCAAACCAGCAGACACAGCACAGTATTTCTGTGCAGCTAGTCAACACAGTGCTTTAATTCCTGTGGCTGCTGCACAAAAACACTGCTGCTCATATCTAGCATGCACCTGCATGAACTGATGATAAACAGGTGGGGTGGGTTTTAATGCTTTTTCAGATAGAAAACTTGAACACAGAGGAAATAGGTGGGACCAACAGAGATAGATACGCCTTCTGTATCTTCTGTACATCTTTTTTTTTTCCAGAAATGACATCACTTCCTCCTGACAGATATGAAACACTTGTCTAAGGTCATATAAATTTCTTTAGTGTCTGAAGGCAAAATGACTTCATCCATCACAACATGGGCATATTTTTTATTTTGGGCAGCAGGTAAACTCAGTATTATAATTCTCAAAAACCATAAAGCACTATATAGATGTTCTAATTGCATATTTTTTGTACTTTCTGTTTTTTTCTAGGTGTTTCTGAATCTGTCCTGATCTCTCAGTGGCCCCGATACATCTACAGTACTGCTGGTGATCATGCAGAAATAAACTGTTACCAAAACGACACCGATTATGATTATGTGTACTGGTACAGACAGCTTAGAGGAGGAGAAATTCAGCTTATTGTGTACTTGGTAGCTGGCACTACAAACTTTGAGGCTGACTTTAATTCTGGCTTTAAGGCAGCGCAATCTCAGAAGAAGCAATGGTCTCTGTCTATACCCAGCATTCAAAAGAAAGATGAAGCTGTGTATCTGTGTGCTGCCAGTCTCACAGTGCAGCAGCAAACCCGATGAGTGTGACAAAAACTTACAATGAAGAGATGAGAGAATGCTGATTGTTTCAACACCTGCTTCAAATGTTAATATTTGGACTAAAGACAAAACCAGACAGCACCATGTGGGGGGGGGGGGGGGGGGGGGGGGGGGGGGGGGTCATATCACATATCTAACAGTTATAAGCCCAATAATAAACTTTAAAATAAACTCATTGGCATGATGTCAAACAAAACTTGCTGTGTTACTTTTTTGTGAATTTTATTTTTGTAAATTATAGTTAATACTTAAATCTGGAAGGACTTACACAGAAGAAAAGCCACAATTAGAGAGTAAAAAAAAAAAAGAGAGAAATATCGCCTTTGGTGCTCAGACCCTGTTGGAAGATATAAATAGAGAGAATATCGATGTTATGATTGAGCAGATGAATTAGGATATGTATGTCCTCCCAACCCTGCGAGGCTGATATGGCTGATGGAATGGAGGCCGAACGAGGACGGGAGCCACATAAAAAAAAAAATATATATATATTTTTTTTTTAAAGATCTGTTTTTAGGTAGTTGTCAAATTGAAATTGTCATACTTTCTTTTTTTTTTTATAAATGGAAATACTGCTATATTACAAATTTGTGACAATATTCATAATGGTAAATGATAACATATATCATTAGGGATCAGTTATTAGAGAAACAAGAGCTTGCTAAAGGTTCCTACTGTAGGTCCACACTGAATGTGTAAGAACAAGCACTGGGGGACTGCACATGCTATCTTGGCCTTATTCGCAGCAGAAAGAGTTTGTTACATATTTGCAACAATACTGTAAGTCTCAAGGGCTTAAATCAAAGTCCCCAAAGATGACTGACCGAGATGGCGGCGTGCAAAGGGCTAAAAGGCATTCAGCAGAGCGTCAGAGGATGATTTGATGAAAGATGAAGCTGAATTAAGTCCTCTTGACTAAGTTGTCTTTTTTTTTAAACTTAATTTCTGATGATCAGGCCAGTTAAAAACATATAATGCACTTTCTTTACATTCTAAGCAATTACTCTACAGAGTTCTTTACTTTTTAAGATTTGAAAAATTCCAATAATTTAAGTATATATATATATATATATATATATATGTATATATATATATATATATATATATATATATATATATATATATATATATATATACACACACATACATACATACATATACTGTATATACACACATACATACAAATACACACATACATACATACATACATACATACATACATACATACATACATACATACATACATACATACATACAGTATACTGTATATACACACATACATACAAATACACACATACATATATACACACATGCATACATATATACATACATATACATACATACATACACACATACATACATACATATATATACACACGTATACATACACACATGTATACACACACATGCATACATACATACATACATATATACACACACATACATACATACATATATCTCAACTAATCATTTATTGCTTTACTAAACCGCCTTAAATCTAAAACTGCAGCAAAGTCAGAAGCTTACAAACAGGGTATAGCTTAAATATCTCTAGCATCACACATCTTTATTCATTGTTATTTAAACTCTAGAATATTAGATTGATCCATACCAAAGACACCAAAATAGAAGGGTTAATTTTATAACTGCTGTCATACATACACAAAAACAAGTTTTATGGATGTAGTAGATTAGCCTGACGTAGTCCTACTCAATTCTAGTCAGAATATGAGTCTGATACTGCTCCATAGAGCTGTGATTATGGGGCGTGTTTTGAACGAACCAGGAAAAAAATGCTTCTGTACTCATATGGATAGACCTACAACCAATAAGAGCAACGGAGTGCGTGACGTATCTTAAGCGAGGCATAGTTGTTGTCCACAAAAATCAAAGTGTGCAGTTTCACGCCTAGAATAAGAAGATGAGACTTGATCGCGTTTCTCTGTTCCTCTTTTAAAATTAATTTGCTGTCGATATCTTCTAGAACAGACCTAATAGCAGAATCTACTCACCCAAACTCTCCAGCGGCAGCCATTATTGTTGTCACCCTAGCCCGCTTTGGTCACGTGGTTGATAACGTTACTCTTGATCATCTGTCCATCATCGTATAAAGCCCGCCCTGACAATTTGATTGGATCGCCTGACAGTGGGCTTTAAAGGGATAGTTCGGTATTTTTGACATTAATCTGTATGGCATCCCCATCACCAGTGGCATGCAATCACACTGACTTACCCCTGGCAGCGTCCTGTGAGCAGAGTTATCGTCCAGTTTTGGTCAAGCCGAAAGTAGTCCGGCAGGTTTTTAGGAACAGCGAAATAAAACTTTTCTCTTCCCAAAACATTATGTGTTCAAAAGAGTGATATTTTTGCATCCCAAAAACATTGTAGTGGAAAAAGTCACACGTCGTTATCACTTGGTCCTATTTTCTCTCTGTTCGTATCAGTGCGCGCCGTCATTCTGACAGCGAGAACCTGACAACAGCCATGTCTTCCCTCCGCCTAGCTGGGCGGAGGGAGACATGGCTGTTGTTGAGCTCGCTGTCTGAATGACGGCGCGCACTGATACGAACAGAGAGAAAATAGGACCAAGTGATAACGACGTGTGACTTTTTCCACTACAATGTTTTTGGGATGCAAAAATATCGCTCTTTTGAACACATAATGTTTTGGGAAGAGAAAAGTTTTATTTCGCTGTTCCTAAAGACCTGCCGGACTACTTTCGGCTTGACCAAAACTGGACGATAACTCTGCTCACAGGACGCTGCCAGGGGTAAGTCAGTGTGATTGCATGCCACTGGTGATGGGGATGCCATACAGATTCATGTCAAAAATACCGAACTATCCCTTTAATACTCGCGCTACTATGGAGCAGAGCCAGACCGAACTTCCCGACCTCAAACCTTGTGGGCGGGACTAAGTTCGGACTGGCACCCAGGCTAGTAGTAGATAGCCACGGCTAGGACTTGCTTATAGCTACCACTACCTTAGATGTATGAAGCTGACCTCGCTAGCTTTGAAACTTAATCATATAATTAACACTTTGTACCACAGGTTCTAGCTTGAATTGTAAAGTTATGTGTATTTTTTTTTTGTGTCACCATGTTTAGCTAATTAATTCGAGCTTGTTTTCATCATTGGCCAATCCAACCTTCAAACTCATGGTTCTATTTTCCCTCCTTTCTGGATTTTTGAGAGCAAAGGTGAGACGAGCCATTGATATGTTCAGCTAATCTGAGCGAGACGAACAAACACAAATTGGACAATCAAGGCCTAGTGAGTGAATGTAAAAAAAAATCAGTATTTATTTCTTTTACAACAACTATCTCTATAGACTATGAGCATATTTATATATCTGAATATTTAATGTCAGTTTCAACAAACTGAGACATTCAATCAATAAGTCTAAAATTAAAAAAACAAAAAACATTTACTTAATGTAAAATGCAATACAAATTCAGAAAGAATTAATTTTGTCTCCAAAATGAAACTTTTCAGTAAGGAATCTACTATAAAAATATTTTGTAACATAGATTCAGCTGTTCAGACTCACATACACTTAAATTTGCTATTGGATATTTTTCATGGCATTTGTGAGGTTATTTCTCCCACTTATTCAATTATTCAATTTGGGTGACAACATCAAAAGTTAAATCTTTATAGAAATAATTTTATAGCTCTTCTTAAAAGTGTACCAATTAAGTTTGACGGTCGCTCTATGTGTGATACTGTTTATACTGTACTCTTTCTACTGCGTTCTGAATATAAACCCTGAACAGCAGAGAGCAGTAGCAACGCATGGGAATGTTGATCTCTGAGAGCTCCTCCTCCTTAAAAATGTACAAAATATGATTTCCCTCCAGTTTGTCTCCCATAATACCTCCGCATGCCTGTGTTTTAAAGAAAAAATTATCTGAGCAAGTTTTTTTTTAAGTTAAAATAATGTTTGAGACATTGATCCCCTCACTGATTTTTTTGTCTTTTTTTGCAGGTAAAGAAGCAAATATTGGAAAGAAATCAGTAAATCTTCAGTATTCAGATTTTCTGTCTAGTTTCAGTCCTTCTTTTCTGTTTTATAGACACTATGGCGTCACCACCTGTAATCCAGCAGGCCCCTGCCTTCATTCAGGTGAAATCTGGAGAAGTGGCATGTCTCGACTGTTACCATGGGGATAACAGCTATCCCTACATGCTCTGGTACCAGTCAACTGTCGGAGGCCGAAAGACCATGGACCTCATTGGACTGCTTTATAACCAAAATCAAAACCCTGAGAAGGGCTTTGAAAGTCGTTTTAACTTGACCGGTAATTCAAAAGGCAAA